CGGAACCCTGGGGGACAGCCACTGAGCGTCCCTCATACACTCAGAGCTACACTGGCTGCCTTTAGATAACCAATCAGGTCCTGTGGGTTAGAGGAGCGGTTGGTTGCCATGGTAACGCACCGTATTTCCTCCTGATCTCATCGTTTCTCGTCTTTCTCTCCGCCTTCCTGCAAAACAAAGGAAGCAGAAGAAAAGGTTGAAGAACCAGTTCCTGACAGCAGAACCTCCACCTGGACCCACAGCGGCGCTACTGGAGGCCAGAGAACCTCCATCAGAACCCAGGGGTCCATTTTGTCCCACGGTCTCTGCTCATCTCACCGCTCCTCAGCACGCTGTCTGATCTCCTCTCTCCTCCTGGAGAACGTCTCCTCGTCTCTGTCGGGACTGCAGAGAAGACAGAAAAACAGCAGATCACCAGGACAGGAGAGACAGCGAGGGACAGGAGAGACAGCGAGGGTAAGGAGAGACCAGGAGGAACAGGAGAGACAGATGGGACAGGAGGAATAGGAGGGAGGTACTAGGAGACCCCTCATAGTAGAAGAGGAGGGACTGAGGAGGTTCAGACTCCAGCAGAACCTCACTGAGGATGAGGATGATGAAGCAGGCGGGTGAGAACGGCGGCTCACCCTGCTGGGCGGGTCCTCCTCCTGCAGCAGCAGCAGCAGCAGCAGATGATGATGCTGATGATGATGGTTCCCAGAACCACGGCCATAGCGATGATCAGGGCTTCAAAGTTCACTGAGGACAGAGACAAGGACCGGGTCAGGACCTGGACCTGCAGCTCCCCCTGCTGTCCCCCTCACTCACTGCAGGAGAGCAGGCTGCCTGAGGCCACAGGGAGCGCTAGCTTCTGCTTCTGGACCCGCTATGCAGCAGCGCCACCTGCTGGACACGGCTCAGCCATCAGCACCAGAACTCTGGGAAAGTTCTGCCACTGAAGCCAAGGAGGAAGCAGCTGGGTGGGACCTTAAAGAGGAACCGATACCTAGAACCCCTGAGAGACGGAGAAACCAAAACCAGATGGAGGAACAGAAAGTTCTGACTCCAGCTTTGGTCCTCTGGGGACAAACATAGAGCTGTGGTTCTAGATGGGGGGGTTCCATTCAGAACAGACCCGTCCTGATTCTACGGCTGAGGATGGGTTCTGGGAAGCAGAGGGAAGCTCAGGTCCACTATGGCCCTTTAGAAGAACCCCAACAGAAGCAGCGGTACTCACCCCAGCAGACGCCCCAGCGGGCCTGGGACAGCGGGCAGAGCGAGGCGGGGGGCAGCAGCCAGGTCACCGGGTATTCAGAGCAGCTGTTGGTGGCAAAACACCACAGACACTGAGGGGACAGCAGAGCCATGTCAGAGCAGGAAACGACCATATATGGAAGAGAAGGAAGCAGCACACCGAGACACAGTCTGAGTTAATGATCAGTCCATTGATGGACCTGAGGACACCTGATCAGACGTGTCCTCTGGGTCCATTACTGATTAGAACAGTACAATAAACTGAGCTTTCATTAAATATTAACGCATCAACAAAGGAAATACCAAATATGGTCAGAAAAAACGAAAACAGGAGAAAAAGGCAGACGGACGTCCAAAAGAGGACAACTACAGTTGAAATCCATGGACCAAAGAACCGCTAACAGGACCAATATTATGACCGCTAACAGAACCGCTAACAGGACCAATATTATGACCGCTAACAGAACCGCTATCAGGACCAATATTACGACCGCTAACAGAACCGCTATCAGGACCAATATTACGACCGCTAACAGAACCGCTATCAGGACCAATATTACGACCGCTAACAGAACTGCTATCTATCAGGACCAATATTACGACCGCTAACAGAACCGCTATCTATCAGGACCAATATTACGACCGCTAACAGAACCGCTATCTATCAGGACCAATATTACGACCGCTAACAGAACCGCTATCTAT